TCAATGAAGAAAGAATTCAACACTGAGGCCGGAGTTAGGACCAAAGCAAGAGATTTATTAGATAGCAAAGAGGAAAAGTCTCTGAGGAGAGAGGAATCTCTGGGGCAGGGGGGGCTAGGGAGGGAGGGGGCTGAGGGGGCAAGAAGCAGATGTTTATATGGGTATAGTGTTTATATGTTCATTTGTTGGGGCCTGTGCATCTCCTAGGTTACTGAGACCCACTGAATTTTCTTTCTTTTCTTTTTTTTTTTTTGATTTATTATTTATTTATGCATACACGAACTAGGGAATAGACCAGAGATAGAGTGGGGAGCAGGACAGCAGATGTACTGAAATACACTGTTGAGGGGATCAGTGGGTGGTTCAGGAGAGGTCTGCTGTGCCATATGGGTCACCTCCCTGGTGGGGGATCAAACTCATGCCTCAGTGGCTGCCAATTGCTTGATAGTACTGATAGGTAGACACTTGCTCTACCAGAGAGGACCCCACTGAGTTTTCTTAAGTTACCTGACCTGCATTTCTGAAATAAGTTTTGGTCCATTTAGTTACTGTGTTGGTGTTCTGAACATTCCATTTTTATTGGGTTGGGGGGCACCCTGACTCCTTCCTTCTGATGGAATGTTTGTCAGTCATACTGACAAATGGGCTTGAAACATTTAGGTTTGGGGACACCTCCTGGTTTCACCCATTTGTTCCCCATTTGCATGATAATTAGTCTTAGACACCTGCACCCAGGGCTTCCTACTTATAACACACTACTTGTACCTATTTCCTAACTTCCTCATTCAGTATCATTTAATTCACATCTTTAAGCACCTCTGAAGCTTCCCTTTTAGTAGGAAAAAATGTAGAACTGGATGCTTGTCCCAGTTGGACTAGGGCAGGTGTATTGTTTTTCTCATTCACACTCCCCTTTGCTCCCTACCTTCCCCCTTCAAATTTGGCCTTTGTCCTCTCTTATTTGGGTCTTTTCCTTATTTTTATCATAGAGGTCAAGGCTTTAGGTGGAAGTTGCCCCCTGTGTACTTGTTGATGTGACATATTTGTGGGAGCAAGTGGATTCATTAATGCTATGTTGCCATCTTGAACTGGAAATCTTAGGTCTTTACCTTGAACTTGAGAAAACATAATGCATAGATGTGTAATGTTTTCTTTTACTAAATTTTCCTAAAGAAATCTCTAGAAGACTGAGGAGTTTTTCAACGTTGAACTCTGTAGAAAATTGTAGTAGGATCATTTAAGGGTGTTGTAGTGCATGCGTAAGTATTGGACAGGTGGCCTTATAGATGATAATGTGATGAAAAGCGAAAATTGTGAACTCCATGTATAGCATCTTTTATGAGTTATTTTTTTTTAAACACAACTGACTTTATTTTTTTTTTTTAAGATTTATTTATTTATGTTCACAGAACCAGGACTGAGGTGCTGGGGCGGTGAGAGGATTCACCAGAGACAGAGTGGGAAGCAGACTGACGAAGTACACTGCTGAGGGGAGTAGGGGGTGGGTCAAGAGTGGTCTCCCGCGCCATGTGGGATCACCTCTGGGACTGGTGGGGTTAGAAGTCATGCTGAAGTGGCTTTAGCTTCTTAGTGCTGTGCTTTAACCCGATGCGCCACCAGGGAGGACCCAAAACTGACTTAAAAAAAATTTATTTTATTTATGCATACAGAACTGGGGTACAGGCCAGAGGTGTGGGGATGGTGAGAGGATTCACCAGAGACAGGGTGGGGAGCAAATCAGGCAAATTGACCAAGTACACTGCTGAAGAGAGCAGCAAGCTGGTCAGGAGAGGTCTGCTGCGCCATGTGGGTCACTTCTAGGCCTGGGGAATCGAACTCCCACCCAAGCGGCTGCTTCTTGCTTGTAGTGCTGTGCTTCAACCTGTTGCACCACAAGGGAGGGCCCCGAGAATTATTTTTTATTCATAACATGCCATTATTTTATTTCATTAGTCTTGAAATTATTTGAAGTGACATTGGTTTATATTATGCATAAGTCTCAGAGAATAGGTTCATAACCCCTTAGATGTACACTGCCCCCCCACCCCCGGCAACCTGCCCCAGAGCACCCACATCCCTTTATCATATACTATTGGGCTCTTCCCCCTGTTTGTTCCCACCCTCCGCAACTCTAGCAACCTCAATTCTGCAGTCTTTGCTAGACTTTGTCTTGGTTAAATTCTGTCAGTTGTTTTGTTTTGTTTCTCTGTATTTCACATGTGAGCAAAACTATTTGGAATTTGTCTTTCTCTCTCTGACTTATTTCTCTTAGCATAATTCTTTCCAGTTACATTCATGTTTGTTGTCACAAAGGTCAGTAGTTCATTTATTTTTCTAGCTGAATAGTACTCCATCATGTATACCCTATCTTCTTAATCTACTCATTTGCCCCAATGAATATAGGAATGTTAAATTAGTGTTTTTGTATCTTTGGATAAATGCCAAGGAGTAGAATTATTGGATCATATGGTCTATTTTAAATATTTTGGGAACTTCCACAACTGTTTTCTATTGATGCTGGATCAATAGTGTTACCGTGTTGGTGTTGCAAACATTCCATTTTTCATTGTGTGGGGCAGCACCCTGCCTCCTCCTGATGGAATATTTGTCAATCTGATTGACAAATAGACTTGGACACCTAGGTTTGTTTTCCCACCAACAGTATGTGACAGTTCCTTTGACTCACTTGTGGCCTCGTGGGGCAAGGTGAGGATGAGAGAGGTGCCGGATGCGAGAGATGACTCAAAGTCTGTGTGAAGCTTTGCGAAGCAGGAGGGGCCACACTGGAAGAAATGCGCAGCCCCATCCAGTGGCAGCCTCTTATTTATTAGAATCAAGTAAAAAGGGAGCCCTCTCTGGTGTTACAGCAGGTTGAAGCGCAGTACTATGAAGCGAGCCGCAGCCACTTCACGAGTTCGATCCCCGACCCAGAGGTGATCCACATGGCGCGGCAGACCTCTCCTGACCCGCCCGCTGCTTCCCTCAGCAGTGGACTTCTTCTAACTGCCTGTTCTGGTCCCCACTCTGTCTCTGGTGAATCCTCTCTCTGGCCTGTACCCCAGTTCTGTGTGCATAAGTAAATAAATCTTTAAAAAAAAAAATCAAGTGCAAAGGTGGGACAAGTCTGCAGAAGTGTACGTGTGGGAGATGCGTTATAGGAAATATAAACTAGGGTAGAGTGAAATATAGGAAATATAAACTAGGGGCTGATCCTTCGGGGGCTCCACTGTTCCTGCTGATCAAAGCACATTACTTCTATTCTAGTATCTGCCTGCGGTTTTCAGCAGATACCAGTCTGTTCCTCATACCAGGACTTTGGCCCTTAGTGAGAGGCCCCTGTGTGACCTGACACCTGACAAACAGGAATCTGGTGCCAACACAGCATCCTTGAGAACAAAGGGGCCTGGGGATCTCACACTCATTCTTGCTAATATTTGTTGTTTCTGGTTTTTTGTTTTTTTTTTTCTTCTTTTTAACAAGGGTCATTCTCACTGGAGTGAGGTGATAACTCATTATGGCTTTTAATTTACATTTCCCTCATGAGAAGTGATACTGTGATATTGAACATTCTTAGTACTTTTAGTTTCAGCTGATTCAGAACCTTTCAGTCACTTTCTGCAGAATGTTGATGAATGAAAACCAGAATGACATAAAAATACAAAGGATTTTTAAAATAATGTTTAATGAATACACATTTACAAAAGTAATCATGCCTTAGCATGGGGAAAAACATACAAAATTAAAAGGCCTAATAATATTTTCCCCGAGAATACAAGAAACTTGCCAACAGTTGAAAAGTCCAGTATAAATTCTTAAGGTGAAACAATTTGGACCTATTAAAAGCAGTACAGTTCATTCAAGCATCTATCATCTATTCCAAGCTCTTTTTTTTTTTTCTAGCTTAGATAAACTGGAAGAGTCAGCTGTGTGAATAGGGTCATGCTGATCTGATGATTTGGGGAGGAAGACGACACTGAAGTAGGGGACACAATGTCTCTGGTCAACTGGGGTGGGAGGCTCCTGCCCTCCTGTCAGTTGGTGGGTTGATGCTGCAGTCAGTGTAACTGTTTTGCATTTGAACCACAAGAGGGCGCTGTCGACTTTCAGATTTGTTTGGCTTTGATTAAGTTTCATTTTTACTAGGCTACAAAAGGAGAGTTCTTACTACTATAAGCTTTATTTTTTGACATAATAGTGGATTTTCTGTTTTTAATGATGAACTGTATCCCATTAAATACATACTACATTTTTGCCAAAATGGAGCGTGGTTGACCCCCAAAGACTAACCTGGTTATGACGGCATTTTAAATGAACTAGTTTTCCAGTCAGAGAACAACCTCAGCTCTAGAACACTTGGCTGTTTTGCATAAAATGGAGTAGATGAGCAACTGACATCTCCCTCTTTCCCATAGAAAAGAAGTGCTGTTTTGTGGTCAGCACCACATACTACATGCCTGCTCAAAATCTCCTGACTTTTTTTGTACTCCTACTTGGTTGAATAAGGATAAATTAATGGAACAAATGTTTTGTGTATCTTCTCAGTGAATACAAATTGAATAAAAATATCATAAGACTTTGATGAAACCAGCACTCTAACCCAATAGGAACAGTATTGATTGATAAGGTCACTTGAGAAATATCTTGACCCTATCTAGCAAAAGTTATGAGAAATTCTATAATTTTGTAGTCCTAACTCTGGCAAGTAGTCTGAGGAAGTAATTTAAAATATGGAAGAAGGTTATAAGTGTAAAAATATTCTTTAAAGTGTTTTTTTTTTAATAAAAATGGAGATAATATACAATGTTCCATCAGGGCAGTAGTTACATAAATGCCCATTTGATGTAATATTATGTGGTCACTAATTAAGTACCTGTACTTCTGTAAGTTCTAGAACAAAACCATTAACATTAATGAAAAGTGAAGGCTGTAAAAATGAATATACAATATAGATAAACCTGTTTTTAAAAGTTACATATATATATGTCAATCGTACCTCCATATAAAGTGAAAATAAGGTTTTATAAAAAAAACTTATTTGGATTGTAGTTGAGCTTTAATATATCTTAGTCATTTGGTATAATGTCAGATATAATATACAGAAAAATAGAGAAAAGTGAAAATATAGAAAAAGAAACGGCCTTTGTAGAGCATGCATAGAAATGTCAAACCAGTAGCCTTTTGGTTATTTCCATATGTGGGAAGATTGTGCATAAGACTCCTTTTAGGTCCAGGCTTGAGCCAGGCAGGCTAATCTGTTGAAGGGCATTTTGAAAATGGAACTATCAGCACAGAAAAAGTGAGAACCATCCTCATTCTATCGAGGATTTTGGAAAGAATCAAATCTTATAAAACAACTACTGCTCATACCTCTCTGGTCTAAGGTATCCCGTAAGTCTTTTTGTTGTATGCATTGGTCAGTCTTAAAATTTCCACTTTTATTAAATTTTCACCATTTAAAATTATAATAAAATATGCCACATTACAGATGCTGGAAATATTAGGTGCATCTCATACATGATTAATTTTGAAAAATGTTTGGAATGTGTAATTTACAAAGCATGCCAAAATACCTAAGGACCACCAAACTTTACACATTTATTTAGCTTAATCTGTGAAATTTGGGGTTATTTGAGTTTTTGTGTAAGAGCTTTTCACATGTATTACCATACATGTGAAAAATTTCACTCATACTCAGACTTTTCTATATCTATCCGCATAAGGAAGGATCTTATGACAAATGCATAAATTGCATCTACCTAGCCCATGGTTACTTTTAATCAGTTGGGATATTTCTGTTATGTTATAAAATATTTCTCCTACTACATATCCACATTGGTTAAAGCAAAACTAAGGTGCACACTTAATTATAGAATTTAGTGTGGCGATACTTTCAATCACCTTTATTTCTAAAAAGCAATAAAGGATCTATTTCTTTTACTTTATTCAGCCATCTTCTTCAGCCACACCTAACTTTGTCTTTAACAGTGACCAAGACCTTACTGTTTTCTCTTTTACTTCCAGAGAAGGAAGTTGTGTATATTTCTCCTGAATTTTTGCAAGGTATTAGTTCATACATATTACCCAAAACAAAGATTCTTATTGTGCAATGTAAAACCACAGCTAATCTGGACTTCAACCCCCAGCTTCTGAGAAAAGATAGAGAAGGGACTTACACTAAGTCATCACTAACCCAAGACAGAAAGAATGGTGTTCTCTTCCAATCTTAATTTTTCCAAGTCAGGCAACATTTCCTTCTCTGTTTACAAATTTCAGGCCATGTCGGAAGAAAAATGCGTTCTTAACTGTACCATTATTCTCCTTTAAGCCCGCAATACTATAGGTCCTAAGTCCAAGTAAATTGAATTTTGCTTTAAATATCTGTTTTTCCATTCAGTGCTGATTTCGAGAATTTTGAGTCCCTTTCCCAGCCCTGGCGTATCCGTGTGAGGGTCTTGTCTATGCATGGCAGAATGAGGATGAACTTGATCACCAGCACAGTGCAAGGGATGATGAGTGCTAAAGCGTAGGCTGAAGGAAGGTGCCATCTGAGAAATGCAGGGCTGAGGAAGCGCTTCCCTCCGTATATTAGGGTATGAGCGGTACACAGCACCAGGGTCAAATAACCCAGTTTGGACTAAAAACAAGAAACAAAAATTTGTACATTAACACAGTTTATACTTTAAAATGAAACATTCTAAATCAGTAAACGATACGTGGTAATAGTCACAGATCTTGAGATGCACTGTGCTATAAATACTAAAAAAAGCATGAATTCTCCATCATGACAATGGGAAAGTTCTTTGATGGGAAAGTTTTGAAGAATAAACTTTTTTTGAATAAGAGTAAGTAATCTACCTTGCCTTCTTCCCAAATGGCAAACATTTCCTTGATCATCTTTCCTGGAGACCAGCAATAAATAAGACACAGTCTGTCCTCTAGAAGCACCACATTAGTCTATGTTACTGACAAAAGCAGATGCTAGCTAATTTCTATCTCAGTGAAGAACAATTAGCCAACTTTACTTTTGTTAGTTTGCTTTGGCCTAAATTCTAAAACTCAATGTTTATTCGTGCCTTAATGCTTTGAACAAAGGTGTTAGTATGTGAAAATGGTGACTGCATACAGTCCCTGGGAGGAACTGCAAGACTTGAAATTCAAATAGTGCTGTAAAAATTCAAATCTAATTTCAAGCACTAATGCTGTATTCTGTTAAGCCGGTTCAGAATGAGCAGGCATCAGAATCATCTGGAGGGCTTGTTAAAACAAATTGCCGGGCCACCCCTCCCAAGTTTCGGATTCTTTAGGTTTGTGGATTTAGATCTAGCAAGCTTCAGGGTGATGCTGACGCTGATGCTACTGGTCCTGGTACACACTTTGAGGACTGTCTGTCCACACTTTGAGGACTATCTGTCTATGAGAATCGTTAGCAGTTGCCTTAATGAGGTGTCTGGTGGCTTATATGTGGAAAAACCCAATTTTCTTCTTACAGAAGTCTGATATGACGACAGTCTAGGTGATCTTGTTTGGAAGGTGTTAAATATTCTATGCCTTTCTGTATCAGCTTGTCTATATTCTAAGGTTGATTTTCAGAAGTAGGTTGTTTTTTGATCGTTGAGTTTTTCTTCACCTTGCACCTAGTACCTCTCCACATATAGTTTAACCACCGTTGGTACATTTCATCCTCTAGTCTTAGTTATGATTCCAGAGGTAGTCGGGAATCTTGGCAGTGGGTGTGCTCCTAGGAAATCATATCTTTATGGAATCTGCCTTTTTGTACCAGAGTTTAGCATTTTGTAATTTGAATTTGTTTCAGTTGCTATTTTTATGAGATTGCTAGGGAAGTGATGGAGCAATATGAAAATTTATGCATGATATGAGAGAAAAATGAGAAGATTTGTGAAGCCATACTCATTTTATAACATAAAGCAGATTAAATTTGAAATTCCTTACCTGAACAAATCGAAATTCTCTCCAGTTGACCACATTGCTAACGGATGGCAAGGAAGTGATTCCCAAAAGCACAAACAGAAAAAATCCAAGGATTCCCAAAGCCAGATATGAATCACTGAGCCAGGCAGTAGAGGCAATAAATGGACTTTCTTTCTTAAGTATTACCTAGGAAAAATTAAAAGAAATTTTAAAAAATCATATTTTTTTTAACAAAATGCCTAAACTTTTAAAGAGTCTGAAAAAAAACCAAAAAACTTCTCCATGGTTTATTTGCTGCAGAAAATTTCTATGGCATTTCTTACTACTAATTTGAAAATGACTATAGGGAAAATGTGCTTAGAAAATATATTTAAAGGTAGAAAAAGTAACTGGTTTCATTTGGACTTTATTATAATAGTTGACTCTAATAGTTGTATAGGGAATTTTAATTGACCCTATAAATCCTAAAACAAACTGAACATTTACTCAAACCTATGTCATATGGCTTTTTGCTCCTAAAGAAAAACTTGATGATCTTAAACAATTACATCAGGATTTTGTTTTTCTGCTCTGTTGATTATTTATTAATATAATTTGAGTTTTTTCACATTTATTTTATTATAGTATACATCAGGTGTATTGCAACGCAGGTTATGAGATATCAGACTGGGGTGTCACTCATATCCAGGAAACTCCCATATATTGTTTGGAAACCACATAGCAAAATCCACAGAAGCATCATCAATAAATTAGTGACCAGTAAACTTTGAGACTGCAGTAAGAGTGATTAAAACCAATTATTTCCAAAGTAAGACTGATGGATAGCTCTTCATCTGGGACTGGATTAAGATTCTCAGAGCTGTTTATTTCTGAATTTTTGACTGTGCAGAAAATAGTATTTGACATTTGTTCAGAATTGTTAGCTTTCTAGTCATCTAGGACAGCTTCCCACAAGTCAAACATTAATGGAGTCATGAACACTCTTTTGTGAATTTGTTTATGTTCCTGTGACACATTTGAGCATTCTCCTTACTTACAAAAAAGGTTGGTTTTGACTTTCAAAAGGCAGCAGCATGTGTAAAATGATAAGCTTGAAAGCACATTGTTTTATATTTATTAACTTTCCTCTAAAGGCTTTCAAGTAGATGGCATTATGTTTTGTGAGCCCCCAGATCTGTTCACCTGTCAGCAAACTAGTAAATACTAGGGATCAGAATATGAACTCATTTGAACCTAGATATTTAATTTTAGTTATTAATAATTGTAAGATATTGGATTCCATATCTTAATTTTAGTTATTAGATATCTTTAATTTTAGTTATCAATAACTGCAAGATATTATAAGAGCAAGATATTTTATTAAAAAAAAAGCTATGAGGTTTCTAATTCTAGTTACTTCAAAAAGAAAAGATACTTTGAAAGGTGTTTTTTAATCATTGTAAAATAGTGTGATATGGCAAGATTCTGCTTTGATTTACTGGATAAGAGACCAAAATGAATAGAGATTTACCTGGGTACTTGTTTGGTTCCTTATCCTCCACCGTACATAATAACGAATAGGGATCACAAGTGTGTAGAGGACGTGAAGGAAGGCAAATCCCAGTGCCATCAAGCCCAGCTGCTTCCTGCAAAGCATCCAGTGGTCAAGCCAGTCTGGAAATCGGCGGTATTTGGTACCTCGGTACAGCTGCAGAATGGCAGCAATAACACCAGGGAGGTAAACCAAGGCCAGCAGTATAAGTGCTACTATTGGAAAGACACGATTTGGGATGGAAACAACCAGGCGAAATGTGTTATCTTCCATGTTATGAACATATGGGTAGATTACATCTCTTACAACAGAGTAGAAAAAGAAGAAGAGACACAGGGCAGCAGACAAATAGAAGGGGAATCTCCACATCGGAAATAGTTGCAGGGGGTAGTTTTCTATTTCATTGGCTGCTGTGAGTGAACCTTGATCCAGTGGGGTGAGCCCAATAGTACGAACAATGTCCATCACTCTTTGCTTGGCTTTGCTGTCATTCCCACAGACAAATACCTGCAAGAAAAGAATTCATCTTATATTCCTTCTTTCATAATTATTTTTGAATGTCTCTATCAACACTGTGCAAAACGATGGCATGTGATAGTAAACCACTTTTTCTTTTAAAGATTTACTTTTTTTTAAATAATAATAATGAACAACTATATACCAGAGATACTTTATGGGAGTGCAATGGGGAATGGGATAAAAATGGAGTGAGGGAAGTACACTGGACTATGTTGATTGCACATGTGTGATTTGGTGATGGCGACCCCACAGGGATTACAACTGAGATGGAAAAAAGGCAAAGCATGATGTAAAAATAAACTATTATATTATAAAAAAAATAAATATATTTTTAAAAGTTTATATATATATATACAGAACTGGGGTACAAGCCAGAAGTGCAGGTGTGGTGAAAGGCTTCACCAGAGGTGAACAGAACAGGCAGATCAGAGGGGAGCATCAGGCAGGTCAGAGTCTGCCATGCCATTTGAGTCACCTCTGGGGCCGGAGATGGAATTTGCATTGAGGTGGCTGCGGCCAGCTTGCAGTGCTGTGTCCTAACTCATTGCGCCACCAGGGAGGGCTGTAAACCACTTTTTAAACAAAATGAAACAGGATGATATTTTAAACTTGTCATGTGTGCTAGATAGTTCAGTATAGATTTTTAAGTTGAGGGTGGTTTTAGGCACATCATACTGTATGGTAAGACTTTGTTCTTCAGTGTAAATAGTTGGAACTTTGTTCTATATTTGTGGGTACTGCACCACTTTGCTTCTAATTTCAGTGACTAAATGGAACCAGTTTCATGTAAGAGTGGGAAAAAAATATTGATCAGTAGTTTAGCTTTGTTATTTTCTGATGCTGACCAGAGGCCTCCATAGGCTGACACCATCAAATAAATGCTGAGGGTACAGACAGTGGAGAAGAAAGCACAGCAGCTAACTACTGTATTTGGTTGAATTCTAGAAAATCATTCATCGCATAGAATAGCAGAATACTGTGCTCAGCGGTTGTTTTATTTTGGGAACTTTGAGGTAAATGCCCATTAAAAACATACTTTTAGAGACTAATTGCAAATTAATCATTGAATCTTACCTGCCGACTTGCATCTAGTGCTCCCGACTGGAGGGCCCAGGCAGAGATGGTGTTCAGTGCTTTAACCACAAGGGTTCCTGGTACCAACTGAGCAAGATACTCTGCATTAGATTCTGGATACTGATTGATTTTGAGATTGTTGCTGATGTCAACTAATATTTTTCCATTGAGAACGTCAGTTAGTTCTGTGAGAAAATCATAATGCTCCCTGTGGATTGCCAGAATAATGATGTCAGATTTCTGGGCTGCTTCTGAATAGCTCCAGACTTCTGCACCGCTGGGCAGCAGACTGGACATCTGGGGGTTTCGACTTCCAAAAACAACGGAATAACCACACTGGAGCATTTTAAGTCCCAGTGATCTTCCATAATCTCCAGTTCCAAAAATACATACAGTTTCTTGTTTTTCTGAAGAATTCATGGTAAGAGGAATTGCAGCTGTATGAGTTTTCTCCATAGCTGAAAGATAATAATACAAATTTATGAATGTTCTGAGTATAGAGAAATTAATTAGAATTATGTTTAGGAAAAATGTGTATGACTGACATTCTAATTTTCAAATGAATTATCTCAGGTGTATTCCACACAAAAATTGAAAGAACAAAAATTTTGTCATGTATATTCTCATCTCTGTGTGTGTTTTAGTCAATAAAATCATTGGTGAAAAGCTTACTCTGTCAGAAAAGGAGATAAAGTGAAAAATCAGCAGTGTTGGATGTTTTAATCTATGGACATATAGACATATATTGCAATTATATTGCATTGATTAAATAGTTATGTTTCCAAAAGTTCTCAGAGCAAAGTCTGACAAGGGATGTACTTAATAAGGGAAGTTAGGCCAATCCACTATGTTTAGTGTTACAAAAATCATAAAATATTAGCAAAAATAATTCAATAGCTTGTTAAGAGAAAATATGTTGCTCAAAGCAGATTATTCTAGGTATGGATTACTTCTATAAGTTTCATATTAGAAAATCTATTATATAAGAAATATAAGGAGAAAAATACAGTTACAATCATTTATGCTAAATAAACATGTTAGAAATGATTTTTTTCTTGTTTCATAGTAAAAGAACTGATATGTTCTTAATAAAGTAGCTTTCTGAACCTAAAATCTGGTATTATGCTTAAAAGAGAAAAACATGTCCAATAAAGTCAGATCAGACCAAATGTATGTGCTATGACCCTGGTAGCTATACTTGTTTGGAAATTCTAGCTATTGTAACTTGATGAGAGAAAGAATTAAGATGTACAGAATGTAACCAAAGGTTGTAGATGATCAAATTGTAGTCTTAGACACAGTACTTAAAATAATACAGTATTGGCACAAAAAAGATATATGTATCAATGGAGTAGAATTGAAAGACCAAAAATAAATCCATGAACACATCAATCCTAATCTATGATAAAACAGCTGTGATCTTATGATGAGAAAAATAAAGTCTCTTAATAAATTGTGTGGGATAACTGGAGAGCCCCACATAAAACAAAGAAGTTTGATTACTGATTAAACCCATACAGATAAACCACAAGTCCCATAAATAAACTCCAAATGGATTAAAGATTAAGGTATAAAACTTGCAATGCTTAAATATAAAGAGGAAAATAAATAAGATGTATAGAGGAAAGCATTGGTAATATGTTCCATGATATCAATAATAAAGATGCTTTTGGTAACTTTAAGCCCTATGGCAAGGGAAGTAAAGCAAAAATAGAAGATTGGGACTATCTCTAGTTACAAAGCTTTTCTAGGTGAAAGAAAATACAAAATGAATTTAAAAAATACCCTATTGAAAGAGAGAAACTATTCACATAATATGTAACTGATAAGGGGTTAACATAAAAAATTTACATGATTCAGTGGTAATAGTAAATTAAAAATATATATGTGCAGCAGATATGAACAGACATCTCACTAGTGAGTATATTTAGAAGGTCAATAGATGTGTGAAAAAAAGTTCATCATCACTTTGAATAAGAAAAATGAAAGTTAAAACCACAGTGCTATTCACAAGAATGGGACATATTGAAGACTTCCAACAACAGTGCTGATGAGGATGCAGAGAAAGAAAAATATCTCATTACACGGTTGGTGGGAATGTGAATTGGTGCAACCATGATAGAAAACAATCTGGATTTATCTTAAAAAACTGAAAATGGAAATGCTTATGATCCAGTATTTCCACCTTTTGCCATCAGTCCAAAGAATAGGAAAACAATAATCTATATATTCTACCACATTATAACAGCATTATATACTATAGCTAGGAGAATGAGGTGTATTCATATATCTTATTCTTTTTAAATATATATATATTATATTAAATATATCAAAACATATACACACATATACATATATGTATATGTGAATATATACAAACATACACATATACACATACATACGTACATACATACACACATATACGCATACATACGTACATACATACATATATATATATGTATATATGTACATATATATATACATACATACATATATATATATGTTTTCCATCATTCTTCATTTTGTACATCTTTCTTCCTTTTTGCATGTTATCTCCTCTCAGGTGTAGTCCCGATAAAATTCCCACCACTAATTCACCCGTGCATCATCACCATAGTCCCTTGTGCTCTTCCCACCCCGGTTTTAACCCCTTTCCCTACCTGTACCCTGCAGAATGTCTCTGATTCATAGTTTCCTGATAATTCTTTAATATTTTTATATTTAGGTTTAATATATTTTAATATAGTTCTTGAGACACAGTACATGCTCGATAAAGTGGCTATTATTAATAAGTCATTTAATCTTAGTTGCCTAATCAATTGATTAATTATATAATTAGTAAAGCCTTTATGTAAATTTTATATATTAAGGGTTATTTGTGCTGCTACAACTGTGATTATTATAAATATATAAATTCATGCAGTATAGCACTCACTGATTCTTTACTAACTCCTGTGTTTCCTCCTTATTTCCTATTAGTAAAATCCTCTAAGAAATGACGTTAGAGCATAGGAATTTATCAAAACACAGATGTAAAAACAGCTCATGGGAATTTCTCTCTTTTAAAGTTCTTTCACATTTTATTTTAATATTTCTTTCAGTTTGGCAATTCCATGTTACAAAACTGGGCTGTTATTCTGACCATTCAAATTTACTTTTTCCAATAAATCTTGGAAAAAGTAAAACTAAAGATACAAGATTATTAAAATAATAATAAAGATACAAGATTATTAAAATATCGCTGATTGACTTAAGAGAATGATAGTAATTCACTATATTAGCCTATAGGAGTTCTAAGGGTACAGCATAGCTAGTTTAGTTGGTAGAACATGAGACTCTTATATTCTGAAGGCCATGGGTCTAGACATTCTAGGTCATATCATGAGCTCCACTTCAAATCTTCTTGGATTCTATTTCCAAGTACTAATCTCTGCTCAGCTTCCCTGCCTAGCAGAAGCTCACTTTGGACCCCGATTCTTGATTATATCCTGGACCTATCTGAGATCTGTGTTTGCTTAGCACTCAATTATGTAAAATCTCTGGGGTCACCAGAGGACAAGGTAGGGGGCAGGACTCCATGGAAAGTTCTTTCTCTTTCATCTTCTGGCACACTTTTTTTTGGTCACATTTCATTTACTCCTCAGAGAGTCGCAATGGACTAGAGCATTGCTCCTCTATAGTAGTGGCCAATTTACTGTGCGCTGGTAGTCTCTTCCCCACCTCTTAGTTATGCCCTCCTGCCCCTCACTCCAGCTTTCTGGAATTAGTGAACTCTGTCCACAAGCCTTTGTCATAGGCTGCTTGCAAGGGAACTCAGGATAATATATTATTATTATTTATGGAAAAACAATGCTCATATTTAAAGTTATCATGACCGAGATGATATAAATAACATGTAAAAACAGCAGTTAATACTTCTTTGGAATAATTTAATTTTAAACTCTTGGAAAAATATTCTAATAATAGTACTTAACAAAAATGGAATCTACATACTGTAGGCCACAAGGGAGATCAAATTGAGGATGCACTTTACAGTAAGTATTTTATAAAGAAGAGTGCTACTTCTGTTTCAGACTATTTGAGACTCAGAATAACTTGTATGTCAACATGGATTTATGGAGGTATTAATGTTTCTTGTTCAAAGACTTCAAGTTTTCTAGTTATGTTTTTCTCTAGATAGAATGGAATGAACAAAGACAGTTAGAAAGGTGATTAACAGAAAGCAGAGTTATTCGAGGAAAGATGGCTTAAAATAGTTCATAAATAACATAGTGGTCTCTTCTCCCTCCCTGAGGTCTTATGAACATCACTTATTTAACAAAAATCATACCAGAAATATGTATTGGTTTGGAAAACTCTGCAGGACTGGTTTTACCTTCTATGGAAGTATCTCCAAGTGAGGTTCCTAGAGAAGAGAGCCAAGTCCACTAGGAGTATTTAGATAGATTGAGGACTGGCAAACAATGACACAGATGTAAAGGTGGGCACATAACTAATTGTGAAGGCCTTTGGTGGCTGTAAGCGTGACAAGTATGTGTGTGCATGTATGCATGTGTGTTTATGCATGTGTGTGTTTGTGTTTGCATGTGTTTGTGTGTATTTTAAGGTCTGAGAGGGAGGCCAGGTATGGTTCTTGCTTGTCATCTTCCTTTTTCTGCAGATCCCACACCAGGCCTTGGGAAACTAAAGTTGAATTCTTCTGCAGTGTTCCCAGCTGGATAACCCATGACCTTCTAGAGGTCAGAGAGGGTCAGGCCATTTCCTGTTTTAGATTCCAGCATATAAAAACGTGAAAATATCCCATTAGAAGTATAGAAATTATATATTTAAAATACTTTAAAATATATAATTTAAAATACTTTAACAAACCAAGTTTCGTTAAAACTTGTTTTATTGGAAATAACTATAAATTTACAGGAAAGCTGTAAAGATAACTACACGAGTTCCCTGAGTATCCCTCCAATAGTTCCTCCAATGGTTATATTTTAAAAACCAGAAAGCTTAAATTGGTACAATATGTGCATATAGTTTTGTGCCATTTTCAAGTTCCTTCAGGGCATCCTTTCCCCGTAACATGGTCCCATATCCATCATTGTAAGCGGGATACAGAACTATTCCACCAACACAGAGACACCCTCATGTTCTCTCTTTAAAGGCATACTTACTCCTACACTCCACCTCCACCATCAACCCTAACCCATTCATCTATTCTCTGTCTCTGTAATTTTGTCATTTTGAGAATGTTATATAAATGAAATCACACAGTACTTAACCTTTAGAGATTGGCATTCTAAACTCAGCGTAATGCCCAGGAGGTCCGTCTGAGTCATTGCATGTATCCACAATTCCTTTCTTTTTCCATCTGTATAGTATTCCATGGTAGAGCTATACAACAGTTTATTTAACACTGTGTTGTAGGACATTTGGTTGTTTCCAGTTTTTGATTATTGCACTAAAA